AACTCAACTTGCAACGGCCAGCGGTCTGCGATGCTATGGCAGAACTACAGATAGTCAGTTCGTTCAAAGAATTCTGGGAAGACGAGTCACCCAGAATAGGAGAAGACGGTGCCCTTGGCTGGAGCCACTTCGTTCAGATGGGCGGCGTTGTCGATCCTCCCGACTCACAAACAGATGACGACACCGTTCCCAAGTCGCGAGACGTGTACAAGTCTTGGGGCGCAACGGAAAGGCTTAGAGCAACGAACTCAAGGAACCCAGCGCGGGCTACGGACGATGTCCTTGAGGACGATCCTTACCGTGTCGTCATGTTCTCTGACATTGAGGAGTTACTGTTTGTAATTCCGTCGGAGGTTATACCCTCACTTTGGAACTCCTTAGTTGATGCTTTCCTGCTCTTTTGCGGTTTACCAACGGCGTTCCGTACAAGCGACTGGACAGAAGCTGCAGAAAACGATACTGTGATTATGAGCAATATGAGGCTCTTTGAGAAGGACGTGCTTCAGATGCCCAACGAAACCGATGTCCTGGATGAGACCAAGAGGGTTCCGGTGTTCAAGCAAGATGCATCTCGGTACGCGCTATCGGCTGATTTGCTGTTTGCTGGCCCCGATTGGTTTTCGCCGTTTTCTGGATGGACCAGTACGTCCAAAGAATCTGACGGACCCGTCCCTCTAACTGCAGTCTCCAACACTCTTCGGTTGATGCTGAAGTCGAAAGGCTGTCAGGAGATGGCCGAATACTCACTGGCCATTGATGTCGTCAATTATCCCAACAACACTAAGAAACGCGCAAAGGCTCTCATCAAGCAAGATCCCACGAATCTCAAGCTATACAATGCTTATGCTCTCGCCGAGTTCTCCAACGGCAACGCGGGAATTGGTCTCCAGGTCATTGGTACAGCGGCCGCCTTGATTACTGTAAGTGCTCACATTCATTCAGCGTACATTACTTTGGTTAGTCTCTAATGCTCATCTACCAGACCTCCAGTCGCACTGGTGGATCAACGTTATGGAACACTTGGGCTTGGCTGGAACTCCACGAAGGGAATAATGCACAGGCTTTGGTGCGTATCTGTGCTACAACAGATGAATCCTGGAGAAATGCGTCCGCAACCACGCCCTCTCCTTCACAACTTCTCAAGGCATATCAATCACTATCGGCTACTCTGGGGCATCAAATTTCTGCGAAGCAGCTCGACGAAGCTATAGCTACTGCGGAAAGCTTGGCAATGTTGGCCTATCTCACAGCCCAGGAAGGATCTGAGCCAACATCGGAGGCACAAGGAAGTATCTCGGCTGCGATGGAGAGAATCTGGACCGTGTCTTCGGAACTATGTGCTCAAGGTCAGGCCAAGTCCTCGACGCACGAGAGACTTCTACAAGTCGCTGCGAGGCTTCTTTACTACCATGCAAGCCGAGGGTAAGCAAGTCCCAATTCTTCCAGCCATCTCGAGGCTAACATTACCACAGACCATTCCGACGTGCGTATTTGAGGGATCAGCTCAGCCAGTGCATTGAGTTGTTTCCACGCAATACTATCTTCTTGAGTCTGTTCTCATGGGCATCGACGACGTTCGGCATTGACGACCCTGTGCGCGACATCCTTCGAAAAGTCGCCCTTACTAACGCCAACGACAGCATCAGCAATCGCGTCTTCGCGATTCGATACGAGTTGCAGAGAGGCAACGTGTATTCAACGCAAGCAGCCTTTGAGCGGGCACTAGATAGCCCAACGTGCAGGTCCAACCCCGATGTATGGAGGTGTTACATCAAGTTCAGCTATGCGAGGCAACAGCTTAGGTCCAAAGCAAAGGATGTGTTTTTCCGAGGTCTTCGCCATTGTCCTTGGTCAAAGGAGCTGGCGCTCGAGGCATACACGACCCTTGTCAGCGTGATGGACGAGTTTGAGCTGCGGTCCGTCTTCAATACGATGTCGTCCAAGGGACTACGGATACACGTTGATTTAGACGAGTTTTTGGCCCAGCATAATAAGACATGAGAAGGGGCCAATTGAAGTAGGCCAGCAGATGGCGAGGTATCCCAAAGCCCGCCTAGCATAACAGTAATACGATGAATTAAAGAATGCTATGACTGTGACTGATGGGGTGATTCAAACGGTGAGCGATGATGAACTTGCTATCGATCTATTGTATATGCTGCGACAGGGTCTCCATGGTCCAATGGCTGACATAGTCAGCCTGCCCCAGCAGAGACTATTTCGGCTCTAAATGCAGATTGCAGGAATAGGACAAAGAGTCACAGTGGCAATGCAGCCGCAGGGAAAAGGCTCTTGCAAGGGCAGGTTCTTGGCCTGGTTTGTAATAGGAACCGGAGAGATGTGAGGTAGGGTGGTTCTGATGCGGAGTGACTCATCAGCCACATAGCGACAATTGACTCTTTTTGTGCAGCCCGGGCGGTTTGAGGCGAATCAGGGTCCACACAGCTCGCTCGGTGTGCCCCGCACTGCCCGCCCCTCCCCTCGAAGGCTCGAAAGCAAACCTGAAAGCCCAGAACGGCAGAGAGCAGAGCCCAGGGAGTGAAGAACTGGACTGGCAGCGGGCGAGAGCAGCTAAGGTAATTGCCCCACCTTGGTTCTCTATCGATTGTCGCTTTTTATTAATTGCGACTTCCGCCACTGCAAAAATTCCATCATCAACACCACCCTCACGACAGGATCCTTGACGAACGACATTTTTTTCCACACGACCGCGGCAAAGGGTTTTCTTTCTCTCTTCCCACAAACGAAGCATCTTTTACGAGCATCAGCAGCCGTAAAAGTCCCATCACATTTTACACCTTCGACAGTTAGTAATCGAGTATCCCCCGAAACAAACCACAATCATGGCGGTGCGCGCGCAATTCGAGAATTCCAACGAGTAAGAGAACCCCGCCGGATCGACCCCGCCATTATTGCTGCACGCTTTTGCTCCAACAACCCGCATACTCCGCGATGCTCTTTTTCCGCAGGACCAGACGTGCTGACGCGGGACACTTTTGCTCTAATTAGAATTGGTTGCTTTGCAACTCTCACCAACTCTTACGCCCTCGTCGCCCCGGGTGCCAGCGAGAACTTCTACAGTGTATTCGAGGCCGAGTTGCAGGGTGTTATCCCCATCTGCAGAGCAAGCATCGCTGGTGTTCGCATCATTGGCCGGTTAACAGCTGGGTAAGCAATACGTGATGGACCCTCGAATGGGTCGTATGTGTTTTGGCATAACGGCCTCGTACCCACGTGAGCACAAGTTTGCTGACAGGCCTCAACTTCTAGTAACCGCAAGGGTCTTTTGGTTCCCAACACAACGTCAGATCAGGAGCTCCAACATCTCCGGAACAGCTTGCCAGATGAAGTTCGCATTCAAAGAATAGAGGAGCGCCTGTCCGCCCTCGGCAACGTCATTGTTGCCAACGACCACATCGCCCTCATTCACCCGGACCTAGAGCGCGAGACGGAGGAGATTATCGCCGACGTTCTCGGCGTCGAAGTGTTCCGCCAGACCATTGCCGACAACGTGCTCGTCGGCTCGTACATGTCGCTCACGAACCAGGGCGGCCTCGTGCACCCCAAGACGTCGATTCAAGACCAGGACGAGCTTTCGAGTTTGCTGCAGGTGCCCCTCGTGGCCGGCAGTGTCAACCGTGGTAGCAACGTTGTCGGTTCGGGTATGGTCGTCAACGACTGGATGGCCGTGACCGGTCTGGACACCACGGCGACGGAACTCAGTGTTATCGAGAGTGTATTCAGACTGGGCGAGGGCCTGGGCCCGGACAACGTCAACACGAAGCTCAAAGACACCATGGTCGAGTCTTTCTATTAAAGAAAGAATTTGTCTGTGGGGGAAGGGAGCTGCAAGTTGAGCGGTTGGCTGCAGGAGTACTTTCTGGGTCGGGTTTTTCGTTGGTTTGGGATACCACTTATTGGGTTGAGCATGGTTTGGTAGGCTCTTCTCGTGAGCCGGGTTTGGGTTCACTCAGCAGTACATTACAGATGTATCTGTATGGCCGGCATGAATAAAAGCCCACGTGGGCACTTGGAACCCAATCTTGTTGTGCCAGCTGGCTTCCCAACGCATTGAGGCTGTGATTGCCAAAGTTATCCAATATCACGGTCAACCAATGTCAACGCCAAATCCAACAGATGCCTTGATAGTGATGGTGGACCGGATTTGAAGTAGCTCAGATGAGATCCATCCCCCAAGGAGGAAGTAAATAAAGCTAACCACAAACCTTGATATCCAAGGTTGAAAAAACCCAAACAGCGAATGCGATTCCATGTAGGTGTTATTTGCCGAGTAAGGGGGTTCCTAAGTCATGACGATTGTTACCTGTGAGGGAGCGAATTACATCCCAGCTTTGCCTATTGTTTTGCCTTTTCGGCTGAAGTTGACTGAACCAACGCCCTCTTCACGAGCAGCCTATCAATATCATTCGCGGTGTCCATTTCACCTCGTCGGTAAGGTTCGAGACTCCCCGCCGAAGCATCTCTTCCCAATCTGGAAAGCACAGGCTTCGGCCGACTGAGAAGAAGGAAGGATTTGGTGCGTGCGAGGGGCCGAGAGGGAGAGGGAGGATTTGGCTTTTGAATCACTACCTAGGCACTAGAGGGAGAACGTATGTGCAGTGATTATCTTCCAGAGGAATTCTGGCCTCGACTATGAAGTCCAGTGTTTACAATGCCGCCCAGCCAGCCACCGGGTGAAATGGAATGGGGGCGTGGAAAAAGGGGTTTCCTTCTAGTGCAAGTATCGCGCTCTTTTCGTTTTGAGTTCCTGGGATGTTCCGTCGGTGTGTCGACGCTTGATGTGTGTTTTTCTTTGTATAATTAGACGAGACAAGGGATTTCCACGAGAGGCGTAGAAATTAGGCTGCGCCGATATTGCCTAGGCAAGGCAGGGAGCATGAGAAGCGCGTGAGCGCCAGCAGTTGTCTACAAAACCATGGCGGTTGAGGCGTCTTTCGCGTGGAATGTGGAATGCTGTGTGGTGGTCTTTTTTGATATGCATGTCTGAGCGTGGCAGGATGGAGAAGGGAAGGGCGGGCTTAAGCCGTCGATATTTTTTGTTCTTTGTCTCTTACTCTTCTCTGGGCTTCATGCTTCTGGCGGGGACTACCTACTTCAAACCCCTTTGGAGGTTCGTAGTTGGACGTACCTGTACAATAACGATTTCCAAGCTTGGGATTTATGCCGACGTTGGAATTCGGGAGCTCGGGACGGTTGGAAGTTTCGCTGGTTTTGGGGTTGCATTCCAGGTCGGTGTTGAAGATCTGCGAGGACGGACTATAGGCGCCGATCTTCCGGTAGATGAAGGCACCTCACTGAGCCGTAGTTGGAATGCCGTCTACCTTATTGTGTACGGTACTTCATACGGATACACTACGAGTGAGTGAGCAGGAGAGAGTGCTATGTTTGTGCCTATCTACATCTCATCAGGACTTTCAGATGTCAAGCCTCTCTCGGGGCACGGGCATGGGCACGGTTGAAGCACAAGCCAGAGACACGACAAAGTGGTGAGGAATCATCTGGTGGTTTGGGTTCAAGGAAACGTTGCGATGCGATTTCCAGGGTCCAAGAAAAAGGTACCTTGGATTTGCACGGACCATGGGGACGTGGTACCTACTGCCACCGGTACGTGCTCCATAAAAAGAAGAGGGAGGGAAAAGGCCATCAATTGGGGAAGAGCGCTCGGCGGTGCGTTGGTTGCTTTGAGAAACGGCGGAAGGCGAGAGAGTGTTGTCCGTTGGCATGGTCAAGTGACGGCGGACTGGATGGCAGTTGCAGGGTCACCTCACTGCTAACAGCCTGGAGCTGGGACTGGCCAGCCTATGGGACTATGGGTGCTGCATCGCTGCTGGTCCGCTTTTCACTGCCCAAATGGTGATCGGGTCGACGGGTCCCACGGCCAAGTTACTGGAGACGGGATGGACACCGCCCAACCACCGCCAATTGCTGGATGTTGACGTCGCCCGCGTCGTCGCCTCCTGCCCGGTCCTACGGTTTGTTTATCAGGGACCTCCCGGCGGTTTTTTTTGGTTTCTCTCCTTCGATCTTGGTGGCTGTCGACCTGAACCTTCTATTTTCTTTCCCTCAGTTCTGTGCACATCGAAAGGGGGGGAAATCAAGGCTTTTTGCTTTTTCTTCTCCGTCACTCACCGTCATAACGTCGACGCCCCCTGCAGCGCCGGCCTCGTGGGAACAGACACACCTTTTTCTCTGTGTCTGCGTCAAACCTGGGGTCTTCCCCGTTTCTCTCGACATCTGCACCACGGATACATTGTACCGCCTATGCAGCCTCACGACTCTTGGGCCGCACTCTTTGTCACCTCCCTCGCATACCTGGCTCAACACTGACGGATACCTGCTGTCTGATATCCATACGTACGGAGTACGCAACTACCTCACGCACAAATTGAAACGAAACGAAGTTTGCCTGTCTGTACGCCCATGCTGACTCGGAGGCTCGTCCATCCACTCTTATTATCACATTTCCTTTGACCGATATCCAACACTGGACCGGGCACCGCAATATCTCCGCTTTTTTATGCCTGTGCTATACTTCGTACAGAGCATCCCCGACGCTTTTGCATAGTCACAACATTGTCCGAATATCAACAAGCCTTGGATCGGAATAATCGCGACTAGCCCTCAGCCACAAGCGTAGTCGTGTACTCACCTGCGACTTTGACAGCTTCGACGGCTTATAGCATCCCGCGCCGCCGACGCCTTCCAAGCCGAACGCTCTCGTCACTTTGCTCACGATCTGCGGCTGCTTGCGCACCTTTACTTTCTGTGCTACCATCCTGTGCGACCATCCTGTGCAACCTCACTATAGGTACTGCAAGCCTGCAAGGACCGGGCACCCAAGGAGCCGTCTTCATCGATTCCAACAAGAGGTTCATGCGAGTTGTGCTTGACCGTCCGTCGCCTGTCAACTTTCCCTAGTCCGACCGACGCTCTTCATTCTCGCTTACAGGGGGACCTGGCATCTCATCACGCCAAAAGTCTCGCAGTCCCCTTTGTCCCCGCTCGATCCATCCCTACCGAGCGGGCGACCCCCAGCAGCCTCCCACCCTAAAGTTCCAACGCTCTTCCCTCGAAAAAAGGCCGTCTTGACTCTAGGTTGCTCCTAGCTCACGAGATCCGCCACTCCCCTTCCGCTGTTTGTAGCCCGAGTCGATCCATTTACGTTCCTGGTCTGGCTGCTATCCAAGGCCGCGATACCCCCGGCCGTACAGCTAGACTCAAGCTGGGAGACACATATTGCCCGTCCCACACGAAACATTAACTTATCATGCTAAGCCGTCACGCCGCCGCCTCCACACCCGACTCCCCGATGTCTTTCCCACGCCCAACTAAGTCCTCTGGAATGGACAAGACTCAAACTCTACGCCGTGCACATGGGCCTGAGAGCGTTGATCCAGAAGACGATCCTGCTTCCCCGAGCGCTACCCCCGGTGCTGCCTTAAACACCAACCCGCCTGTCCAGCCCGAGCCGTGTCGCATTAGCTCGTCTGGAGCCGATCGAAGCTTTCCTCGACTACACTCTGGTCACCAGAGACAGCAATCAGTTCCAAACTTCCCTTCTTCCAGCAAATCTGTCCCACAAGTCACCTTCTCACCATCCCTTGAGCGAGGGTCTGGCCGCCCCTTGTCGGTCAATATGCCTCTCACGGGAGACAGCAGGAAGCCTTCAGATGCCACTCGAGGAGGCATACTGAGCGGCTGGTTAGGTGGATCACCCAACAATACAGAGGAAGCCAAGACGAACGACGATACGATAGAAGGGACGCCTACAAACAGACTACGCAGAAGACAAACCGGTTCAACGGAGGCGACACCGAAAGGAGTTTCGCCGAGTACATCACGGTTCGCCTTCTTTAGCTCACCCTTCTCCAAGAACACTCCGGCACAAGTCGTCAACCCACAACAGGATGAAGAGTTGTTGTCTATAAACATCCAGGAGGCGCTGTTTCCTCCTACATCCCCGACTCACAGGGACGCCTTCTCGCCTGCAGCCTTCAAGAACCTCGAGGCTACAGCCGTTGGCCTATTAACAAAGTTCCAAACCGCCTATCAAAGACAAAATGCCGCCTTGATAGAAATGCGAGTCGAAAAAGACGCCCAGAACGACGAAAACGATGAGGCGGACACACGGATCCAGCACCTCAAGGTTCAACTAGAAAACATGGCAACCAAGGTCGCCGAGCAGGAACAGTCGATGCAGCAGCTCATGACTGAACTGAACGCGGAGAAGAAGGCCAGGCAAGAGGAGAGGGCAATGCGTGAACGGAACCGCCCGATTTCCGAGGGGTCTTCAATATCCGAAGATCTCGGCGCCGAAGAGGACCAGGTCAGAAGGAAGTGGAGAAAGAGCGCGGGATTCGACACGGACGAAGAGAGCGTTGAAGACGCCAGCGTTTTCTCGAGGTCACGGAGTCCTACCACCGCCGCACCCAGCGTATTCGAGGGCAGCATATCGGAAGCATCAGCAACCCCATCAAAGTCCAATTCGCTCGGTCCCCCGAAAACCTCACGACCGACACCCACGTCGAAACCGTCACCACAGCAGGCGAGCGTTTTCCAGAAACTCATGAGAGGGGTTACAGGTGACGCTGCGAAAGAGGAGGGAGGCGCGGCATCGTGCTCGAACTGCCGAGGGCAGGACCAGCGGGCCGCTTGGGATACGGTCAGTCTGTTGAGAGATGAGAACCGTGGACTAAAGCATCGTGTTGAAGAGCTGGAGACGTGTGTTGATAGTGCGTTGGATGTGGTCAACGGGCTTAGACTTGACTGACTGCGTCGTCATGCGTAACAAACATACCCCCCAAAACCGTGCGAGCTTATTCTCCGCGGCATGACTGGCGTTCTCTGAGCTACCTTTTTTTTCTCAAGTTTGGAGTTTTTGGTACATTGATGGGACAACGCGATACCAATGAGCTGGCATTGTTGAAATCTTTGAGCGGCTATAAGAGCATATACCTCGTCACTGGTAGATGATTTGGTAGAGAATGAATGAAATCTGTCTGGCTACTGCATTACCTCCCTTCATAATGGCATCCACGCAATACGTAGTAACGTTCTGAGATGAGATTGAACCATTGGTGGTAACAGGGTCGTGTTGAGACGGAAAGGAATTGTAAGCACGTAATCTTGGATCGGGAAAGCTGACGTTGAAAAGGAAGAAGCGAAGGAAGCTTGGACGGGGGAGGAAGGGAGGGAGGTGAGAATTATGGGATGATGTGTTGAAACTGGTGTCTGTGCCACGAGGAGGTGTTCTTGGGTGAGCAGAATGGTTGTTCTCGGGAGTTTTTCGACTGTGCTGTGGTTGTTGGGGTTGTTTGGTTTGGTTTATAATCTGGATTAACTGTGTGTTCGCGTTTGTTGCCTTTTGAGTCTGCTATCATTTGGTAGATGACGAGAGGTCGCACAGCTGGACCAAGGGAACGAAGGCAGATGGAGATCACCGGAAGGAAATGATATTATCTGCGTATGAGGGTGATACTTGGATTTTGCGGGAGGTAGGTAGAGTACAATTTGATCTGAGGCGAGGGGGTTGTAATGAGAACTGGCTATTCTTTCAGAATGGAGGTTACAGCTTACTCTGCACCTCTGTACATCAATGGCCTATTCGCATTGTATCAAGAAGCTGATATTTGTGGTTCTAGTCTTCTTTAGTGATCTATGTTTTGATCTCATGCTGCATTTACCCTATAATGTTACTATAGCTCGTGACATGGTTCCTGGCCTCGAGTTAGCCAGACTAGGCTCTCGTTTCTAAGTCTGAAGCTTGCTTAATTGCAGATGACTTGATGGCTGATAAAACATACTTCGAAGCTGCCATTGCTGGACACATCTTGGTGGTAGAACGCTTTTGTGTGCCGATATGTCTTCTCGATCGAAGTAGGAGGAGCAAGTGGCCGATTAGGTAAACGGTAAGGAGAGGGATCTCGCAAAGGCTTTGAGCCCCGTCATTACTCTTTAACTCGGATTTGGGGTGTTGCCGGCCTTTCCCTTTCTCGTGATCTGACAAGTGGCGCCCAGCAGGGTTTGAGGGGTCAATGATGTAGGGAACGCTCTGCAAACACATTCACACACAACCTCTGACACCAGGGCCATGGCACTTCTTACGGCACGTCAAAGGGCCACAGCACCTTGATAGCGGAAAACCAATTTCGTCCTCATCTAAATCCTTCCAGCGAGCCGGTCTGCCGGTTCGAGAGGTACATGTACAGCGGAGTATTCCCCCTCTCCGTCTCCCCACAGCCAATCCGTTCCAGTACTCTAGTGGTGATCCTTTCCGTGGGCGTCGCCGTGGTGGTGGTCGTCGGTCAAGAAGAAGTACTCGTACGCGCAGTAGCCGGCAAAGGCGACGGTCGCGATGCCGAGGCCGGGGAAGGATCCCTTGAACCGGTTGAATCGCGTGAAGGGGCCTTTGTATCTCCAGGACTCTCTGTAGTCTCCATCGTCAGCGGATGTCGCGGCGTCGTCGTATTATCATAGCCAGGTGCCACTCACGCTCTCTCCCAGGGGTCGTATCTGGGCTGGCCAGCCGCCTCCTTGAAGGCTCTCATGTCGAAGCCGGTGACGTTGGGCTTCTGGCCGCGGGCGGCCGCCATCGCTAACCTGGTGTCACATGGTCGTTAGCCGTCTGCTCCCTATTCCACCATATCAATTGAGCTCTTTGCAGCGTAATTACCTCGTTGGTTGCATAATTGCTGTGTGTATGTCGTCTTGCCGTGCAACAATGGACTCTTCGGTGGTGGTCAGTCGAGTTGGGGCGAAGCTGATTGGAGATCTTTGAGATGTTGTCAGCGGAAAGTACCGTGGTACGTACCTGGCTGGTTCTGGTCTCGCACAGACCACTTTCGTCCTCCACGGTCGGTCAACCAGAGCAAGCCTTCAGGCCTCATCCACACATTCTGTCCAAATCCGAGATAACCAGACGTTCTCGCCAGCGCTTTAGCTCCGCACGAACCCAGGACGACGATCAGCATCACTCAACAAGCATCACTCGACGCGACGACTTATCCCACTTCGAAAACCTGGCCCTTCTTGCACACTCGTAACGAGCCAATCCGACCACCGGCGGGGAAGAACAAAGGTGCTTCTGTACTGCCAACCCCCCGTCCCTCACTCGCATCTCCAGACGCAAATGCAGGGCCGTGGACCGTCCACAACCCCTCAGAACCCAACACGACCTTGCCCGACGACGCGGTGAACTTCCGATTTTACTGTACGAACCTCTCAAGAGGCATAGTCTGTTATGCCGCCACAGCTACCTAGGTTCCCTGGCGGGCCCAATACCATATCGCCATACCACCAGCAGTTCCCCTCGCACGCCCAAGGCCACGGCCCGAATCATGGACCCCCTCTAGGAGGAAACCCTTCCTACCTCAACGCGAACGCCGCTCAGATTAGCCCCTTCTCCACGAATGGAAACGTCCTCGGCGGTACTCCCGGCCTGAATGGCGGTTTCCCCCTCGGCGCCGACACCGGGCTCGGAAGCCATGCTGCGCGGATGGGCTTTGCGCACGCAGCCAGCTTGCAGCAACAGCAGCAGCATGGGCAGCCGCAACACAACTTTGGGCTCGATCACGGCGCGGCGCCGGCACGGACGACGCAGAACAAGGGAAGGATAAGGGAGGTGTGGAAGCATAACCTCCACGAGGAGATGGCGGTACTACGGGAGCTTGTCGACAAGTACCCGTACATTGCTATGGTTAGCAGGCTCGCAAGGTATTCGAGATGAAGAACTGGGGCTGACAGGACAAATCACAGGACACGGAATTTCCGGGCGTCGTATCACGGCCAATGGGCTCTTTCAGAGGAAAGAGCGATTACCACTACCAGTGTCTGCGCACCAACGTCGACATGCTGAAGGTCATCCAAATCGGACTGACGCTCTTCAATGAGGATGGCGAGACACCGCCAGCAAGACCAAACTCGCAGCAAGACATCGAGCTGAGTGCTGCTCAACGGAGAGCGGCGTCTCAAGGACCATTCCCTTACGCATGGCAGTTCAACTTCAAGTTCTCTGTCAAGGACGACATGTACAACGAGAAGTCGATCGAGTCATTATCGAGTGCCGGAATCGACTTTGCATCTCTCGAGAGAGACGGCATCGACCCTCACGAATTCGCCTCCCTCCTCATCCCATCCGGTCTCGTATGCTTCGACAACGTGAAGTGGATCTCCTTCCACGGAGGCTACGACTTTGGCTACCTTACCAAGTTGCTAACCTGCAACGACCTCCCCAACGACGAATCGGATTTCGACCAAGTCATGAAGCTGTATTTTCCGTCGGCTTATGACGTGAAGCACCTCATGAAGCACGCCATCCGACTTCACAACTCTGGGCTCCTTACCCCCAGCGATCCTAGCAGCGCCGACATCCTCCAGAAGTTTGAACACAAGTCTGGCCTCGAGAACATTGCCGATTCTCTCAAGATCAAGCGCGTGGGCAATGCGCACCAGGCCGGTTCGGACTCCCTGCTTACGGGCAAGGTCTTTTTCCAGATGCGCGACAAGATTTTCAATGGAGAGATTCCTGAAGAGCACGTGGGCAAGGTCTGGGGCTTGGGCATTCCGGAGCTCCTGGTGCTGGAGAGATTGCCATTCGGTAACAACGGTGGTAACCAAGATTCAGCGCAAAACCAGGGCCCCAATGGCCAGCACAATGGCGGGCCGAGTACGCCCAATACCGGTAGTGTCGGTCTCGCGAGCACGCCTGCCGCGCAAGCACACAACACCAATGGCATCTCCATGGGACCAATGACACCAGGCGGTGGAGGCGGGGTCTTTGGCAACTTTGCCTTTGGAGGCGCCAGATAAGCTTCCACGTGTCTTCGACTCCTGACCGGGGTTTCGTGGGTAAGAAGCCACAGGCTCACATTAGGATCTTCGGTGGCTGGCCATGGTGACTTGCTTCCTGAGGTGGCCCAATGTGACGCCGGCTTTGGTTTTGCATACTTTGTCTATACAACGGTGGGAACTCAGAAGAGAGCTCCTTTGCTCCCCTTCCTATCCTTTCAGTGGAAAAGCTCATAGTCGCTGGGAGTAAAGTTCGTTTTTCACGACAAAAAAGACTTCATTTTCTTAATGTTTTCTCTCTCCGGTCTGTTTATGCGGTGATTGCGTTCTGGAGTTGGGATTCGTTGGTTCCAGCATCCCATCCCGTAAGCTAGGACGGCGGCGGCGGTAACGGGTCGGGTTTGGGCTTATTCATCTGGATGACGGTTGGAGTCTAAGGGACCGGGATGGACGACGATGCAAATGCAACTTGCGCATGTCATCAGTTGGAGGTCGACGGAGTTGCGAGAAGGAGCAGAGAAAAAAAAAAAGGGACTGGTGAGAGAGCGTGTGAGACAGGAGGGGGTTGTCAAAGTAAGAGAGAGTACGAGAGCATGAAATCCTTCCTCCTTACGCATGTATTGTTATTGTGAATATCCTGGATTAGGGAGGCCACCGGGGGAACGACTGGAATTCAAATGCAAAGATTGTTGATTTTTTACAAGGGGTTGAAGGTGATTGTTCGAGCCTATGTGAGTTGGCTGTGACACTGAGGTTCGAACTACTGAGAACTTATTCTAGTCGAGGTGAGTTTTGGCCAGGCGGGTTGAGGATGGGATGGAGACTTGATGGCTATCTCGCAAACCTACGAAAGACGATAGCCCGAAGGGGTGGTAATCAAGCTTCCTTTTGTCGACAACCCACCTTCCTGAAGATATCACCCCATGTTCGAGATGCTGGCTGCTTGCGTTGCTTCCAACAACGTGAGAGTATTGACGTGACTCTTTGGGTACTAGCTTGCTAGCTCAGGAAGTCTCGCCGCACCCTAATGGCGTTGCTTCATTCAGGTGTCTTTTACAAGCTACTCAGAGCAGCCGAATGGTGAGCCTTTACTGCTTTGCGCAGATGGATGTGGAAACAAATGCCGAGCCTTTTGTTATTGCCTCTGGAGAGGTGAAGAAAAGTGGCCGAGATATTTAGGCAAGTCTCAAATATTGCCAAATCAGTATATCTGCCATTCTACGTTTGTCGGTATAGATCATGCTGCTTGGAAAGTGGGATGTCAGACTAGGCGCCGTCTGTAGAGGCAATGCATCCCTAGTTCGACTGTTATCAAGATGCGTTGTCTTGACATGGCGGAGCAACTTGGTTTCAAAGTAACTTGTTCCTGAAAAGCGAGAGCAAGTGTAATACTGAGAGTCTTTGCTGTCCTTGAGATACAACGCCGACCAGCTGCAGGCTTTTGGGAATAGTATAACCCGTGGAGCGGTTTGATCACAGTTCCCGCTGCCAAGATGGAGCACAGGATTACGGATAAGACAAAACCCATGTTCTATTTGCGCATACTATTGAAATGCATGGAATGTAACTCAGGAGAACAGTGGTTTCCAAACCGTCCCTTCCACCTCCCATCTGTCGATAACAGGGAACGGAGCTTGATCTGAAGTACAATCCCGCGCCCAGAACGGCCGCTTCAGGAGAAAAAGCGGATCTGCCGGGAACGAACATTGGGGCCCGGAAGGTCTTCATCAATTAAACTGGAGCGAAGAACACAAGGTGGACACCCGTGAGTGCAGTGCAGATGACGTAAACCCGCTTGTTTGCGGACCTTACAACACCCCGGGTCCGTGCACATGACCTGGTCGTCGTAGATTGTAGTCCGATCCCCTGTGTCAAAACATTCCCGAGAGGGTGCGCATGCGCTTTCTTGGAGAGCCTCCCGGAAGCCTACAGATCTTCCCCCGTCTTCCGGCGCGCATTACGAAGCCTTTCCAATTACGCCCCGCGAACTTCTTCTTTTTTTTCTTCAACACAACGAAATCGATACATCATCTGCGACGACAACTTTCCCAAAGACCGATTCAAGTTTGGAAACGCAGCGCCTCATGGACGCTGTCCCGACAACGACACAATGTTCCACGTCGTGAGCGCCTCGTCGCCGGTGCCATCAGAAATCTTTGCGCTTCTTGCGCTCCTCGTTATTTCCGTCATCGTCCTCCTGATTCTGCGCCATTTCTTACCGCTACGAACGACCCCCGCTTTCTACCTGGTTCCGATCTTCTTCGCATTATGGCTGCCTGCGTGCATGGTACTGCTCGTACCGATCGATTTGGCTTCCAGCGCTAGGACCGACGATGAGGCCACGCGCGGAATCTGGCTCCCTCAGCGATTGCTGCTGGTGTCGTGGAGGATAACATACTGGCTTACTTTTGCCTTGACATGGTGCGTGGCTCGTCGGAGTTGTGTTCCCCTTGGTCATTTTGCTAAACGTTCGTTATAGGTTCATTCTTCCGATCCTTGGCGAATACTCCGACTCCGGCTACCGCGAACCGCAAGATAGTCTCAAGTATTCGCTCCGTCAAAATGCTCAATACCATGCGATGGTGTTTGGAAGTGCTGCTATCGGCCTCACGTACCTTTTCGCCAGATACGGTGTCGGCGCCTTCGAATTCAAAGCCTCTTTTATGGCACTCGCATATTTCTACGGCTTGGTATTTGCGATTTACCTCATGGGACACGGGTTGGTCTCTGTGCCCCGGCGACTGCTTCGGTACGCATCTATTAGCGGGAGACTGCGCAGACAACAGACCCGTGCACCGAAGTTATACGAGAAGATGGAGGATTCGCTGCTGAACCTCGAGGATGTGGAATTGCAAGTATCCGAGCTCGGCCGTCGGAAGACTGGCAGCGCAGTCAAATTCAGCGAGTGGATCGATGAGCTTGTCGAAAGCGCCAACATGCCCGAGTCCCAGCCGCGGACCGTGGTTGGCGACACCCGCGCCCTTCCGACCGTTATTACGGAAAAGTTCATGGCAGACTTGTCTAGGAAACTGATGCGAGCCCGGCACACGCGGTCCCGTTATGTGAACGAGTGGAACGACTTGTTGAAGGATGCCTCTGACACGCAGGCAATTCTCGATTCCGCCGCCTCCAAGAAGCTGACATTTGCCGCCCCTTCGCCCCACGCCGGATTCTGGGACCGATTCACCGTCCACACGCCCTACACCAGATACGTTTACTACTATCATTTCGAGCCCTACGCCTGCATCGCCCTGGGTGTATTTCTGGCAGCCGCTTCAGTTCTTATCATCTGGTCCGAACTGGTCAAGGCCGCGTTCCCTCAGCTGTCCGTCATCCGTCTGACCGTTGTCCATCACTGGGTTGGAGAGAAGGGCCAAGTCGGTTTCGCTGGTCAACTCATCTCGGTTCTTTGGCTACTCTACATGTGTGCGGCCACCTTTATCACCATGACGGAGGTGAAGACTTGGCGCGGGCGTGCGCTCGTGAAGCGCAATACGGCATACGAATCGGCATTCTGGTACTCTGGACAAGTTGCGAAGCTCAGTGTTCCTCTGTCATACAACTTTATGACCTTCCTGTCTGGCGAAATCTATAAGAAGACGCGATTCTATGGCTTCCTCGGAACGCTGGTCAACTTCACACCCCTGGGCCGCTGGTTTGACTACCTTTTCCCTGTTTTTGTCCTGCTCCCAGTGGCGGCCACTCTATTTGGCTTGTATGGGAAGGTCAAGCGCATGTTTGGCTTCGGCGGCGAATTCATCGACGACGACGATGAGAATGGCGATGGACGGGTCTTTGGCACAGGATCATGGAGGGAGGGTCGCGATCTCATTGAGCGCGAACTAGGCGGCAACTCTGCCTTGCGTCGTCGTGAAGAGGCTTTCGCAAGGCTGGAGTCGGGTGGGAGGTCCGCTCCTGTCTTGACTATCCCTGGCGCACGCAACGGCCTCGCATCCTCTCCAGCAAGGTCACCTGTGCGGGCTACCACCAACCGCCAACCGGGTCAACCATCCCGAACCAGGCCGTATCGTGATGAGCCAGAAGAGGACCAGAACTTTTTCGAGTCCCTTGGTCATCGGATGAAGAACACAATGGACACCTTTGAGCCCCCGCAGTGGTTCCAAGACATCAAGAAACCCAAGTGGATGGGTGGCGATGATGACGAGCCAGGGAACGGTAGCGGCAGTGGTGATGGTGGTGGTGTCGAGTCTGACATTCGACGCTGGTTTGGTGGTGGTGGCAGCAGCGAAGGACGAGTCCGGCTGTGATTTCTACTCTGGAAGACAGATGGATGACCTTTTTTCCCTTTGTTGCTTTGAGTATAACCACGTTGCACGAAATTTGGAGTCTCTACCAAGAGCTGGGGAGAACGCATCGTTAGGAGTTTTGGCTTGATGTTCCTGCGCCTGGGGTTTTGGAACGCAGTTGTCACCAAAAGCACCCATTTGGTAGGGGTAAATAGAATGGTTTAACAGCGGTGCGAGACCCAGCACCTGTCCATGAGATAGAACTACGTTCCATAGATTCCCCATACGAATTCATTATAATAGTCAAGTCATGCCATGTGGCCTGCCAGAATCAATCTAGACAAAGTAACACGATTTTTAATCAGGAGGATATGACGACGCCCAAGTTGACTCTCACCATGTTGTGACATCTGAGCTAGGCAATCGGCCCCACTGCGGCTTCGGATGGAGGCCGGGGTGCAGCTACCGGTTGCATTAGTGGAGGTGCCGATGGACCGTGCACGTTCTGGCATGAACTGCGCGACGCATCTTTCGCCTCGGCTTCAACCCTTCAACCACACATCACCATACTACACAATGAGCAAACCAGGCTTGTCATTCGGCCTCAACTTAGGCAAAAAGCCCGGCGCATCGAAGCCGGCCCCCGGAAAACGGAAGCCATTCGGCGCCAAAGCATTCGGCGGCGACGATGACTCCGATAACGATGCGCCCAACTCGGGAACCAAGATCGAGTCGCTGGACGAGCTAGGCGGTTTTGAAGTCAAGTCCTCGTCCGGCAGACAACAAGACAGCGGAGGGAGGACGAGCAAGACCAGGACCAAGAATGCGCTGCCGACACAGCCGCCCACGAGCAGGGCCAAAAAGCAGGAGAGCGCCATGTTCGGCGACCTCTCGGGCTCGCTCACGTCCAAGAAGCACGCCGAGGCGGCGGAGGAGCTCGATCCGAGCGTGTACGACTACGACGGCGTGTACGAATCGTTCAAGCCGCAGAAGAAGACGACCAAGGAGGACGTGGAGAGGAAGCCCAAGTACATGAAGAGCCTGCTCGCTGCGGCTGACGTACGGAAGCGAGATGCGCTGATTGCGGAGGAGAAGAAGATTGCGAGGGAGCGGGAGGCTGAGGGGGAAGAGTATGCGGATAAGGAAAAGTTCGTCACGGAGGCGTATAAGAAGCAGCAGGAGGAGAACCGACGAATCGAGGAAGAGGAGAGGAGACGGGAGGAAGAGGAGGCTAAGAAGAACAAGACGGGTGGCATGAGCGCTTTTTACAAGAATTTGTTGAATAAGGGCGAAGAGAGGCATGCTGAGGTTGTGAAGGCGGCGGAGGACAAGGCCAAGACCGGTCCGACGGTACAGGACGAAGGCGACGATGCGTCAAAGGAGAAGTCCGAGGCCGATGTGGCGCGGGAGATCAACCAAAAAGGCGGTGCCATCGCCGTCAACGAAGACGGGCAAGTGGTGGACAAGCGACAATTGCTCCGGGGCGGTCTCAACGTTGGGGCCAAGAAGGAAGCACAGGTCAGGGAGGAGGCTGCAAGACCAAAGGAGAGCAGGCCGGAGCGCGGCGCCGGCACCGGCTTCGTCGGGTCCGGCGGCAAAGGCGCGATGCGGGAGCGGCAGACGAGGATGCTTGAGGCGCAGCTGGAGGCGGCCCTCAAGCGGTCCCGCGAGGAGGAGGACGCGGAGCGCGAAAAGGTTGAGCGGGTTACGAAGACGAGGAAGACGGATGGGGAGATTTCGAGCGCCAAGCAGCGGTACCTGGCTAGAAAGCGCGAGGCGGAGGAGGCGAAGAAGAAGGGCCTGGCGGAGTAAAGATTTCTACCTCTACAAGATACCCTGAGAACCATGAAACGGCTCTTTTTCTCTATATGCGTCTCTGTCCCTCTTTGCGGCGCAGCAACGTGTCTCAAGCGTAGGCCCCTTTCCATTCGTTATGCTCTTTGATGCGAATCTTGTGTACATTTCGTTGATGTGCGATTCCCTGACGCAGTATGCTGCATCACTCCGCCATCAGGAGGGGTTTCCCCATTTCAGAAAATTCCTCCTTGGCCTGATTCTCTCCATTGGACTTGACAAAGTTCCCCTTTTCGGTATTGTTGTACAGTAATCGTACACGAATGCACACCCTCCTATATCCTCTATTGCGGTATTCTCATTATTTCTGAGCCGATTTACAAGCTGGGGTTGCTGGACTCCTGCTTTATCCGGGCAATATAGGCTTGGTTAACCTGGTTCCATGCCGACATGTACTTCTCCATGCACGAGGTCATGCAGGTCGTCTCGCCGCTGGACAGGGAGCTGCCGGGCTTGGGCACGCACTTCTCGAAGCAGTTCTCTTGGAGTTTCTGATCGTAATTGCACAATTAGTTCCATGGTCTTGCGTAGAGGGCTCCTCGAAAGGCTGGGTGACCTACCTCAATTAGGACGCGGGCGTTGGCCAGGTTTGCCTCCTGGAGGACCTGCTTCATGACGGCATTCTTGACAGTTGTGGACTCCATGATTTCGTATGGTATTCTCAGGTCAATAGTTTTGACTGGATAAGAATTGTTCTTGTGAAATGAAGAAAGCTTGCAGTGAATTGACCAGGAATCGTGACGTTCTTGACTTGCGATTGTTGCGCCGAGATTGACCCCCAGAGGCCCGGCTAGCTTCGCATTGGAGCCGACTCTCGAAGAAAAAAAGTTGGAGTGGCTGGTGCTGCAAGGCTGCTGTGGCGCACACGCAAAAGCCTGAGGCAGGGTTTTGATGTTCTGGCCTTCCTCTGGGAGTGACGCACCTCAGAAGGGGAGCCCGGGGCTCACCCAATAGCGGTCGGAGGTGCGCTGTATACAGCCTGTAGTTGGTGAAGAGGCAGGGTGCCTGGCCTGAAGCACACCTAGGCTCTAGCGTACAGCAGGGGTAGGAGCTCCAAAACGTGCTGACCCCAGGAATCAGGATCCATCAGCCAAAAAAAAGAGGACAGCTAACGGCCTGGGAAGGGGACACACGAGCAAGCCAGCAAAACCCACCCGACCACTACCACCACCACCACAAACCCCCTTCGACACTTTTTGCCGAAACGACGACGACGCCATCTCCGTCGCTGGACATTGCGGCTCTCTACCTATTTTGCACCACCTGGCGGCCCCTTTCCCTCCTTCCCCCTCCCCTTTCTTTGCGACGCGTACCAACCGTCTAGTTCCTTTCTCTCTGGGGTTTCCTCTCTTCGTTTCGAGCTTTAAGCAACCTCAACCATGTGGTTCAAACAGTCCCTTTCGGCCCTGTGGCTGGCCGCAACCGCCCTGGGCACCGCCAAGGCAGACGATGGAGAAGTCAAGAGCATCGCGGTTCGTCTACACCTCTTGTTCATCCCCCCAGCCATGAAATGCTTGTGCGCGCGCACAATGGAAATAGACTGATGAAAGCTGACTTCTCTTGGTGTATGTTGTCTAGCTCCGAACGCACTCTCTGAACCAGGTTCGCGACTCCCGCGCTTTTATGCGCCACCACAGCCCCTGAGTGCACTTTTACTGAGACTATTCGCGATAGCCCTACCTCGATTCCGATATGGCAAGTCGGTGGTACGACTTTGGCGGAGACACAATCATCAGGACGGACTCGTATGTTTTAACACCTACTCTTTTCCTATCGAATCGACCGAGGAGATGTCATATGGCAGGAGAGAAAAGAGGGAAGAACCGTAAAGCTAAAGCATAGGGACACGATTGCAGCTACATCCGATTGACATCCGACCGCCCGTCGCAGACCGGCTGGCTCTTCTCGAGAGTGCCCCTGACGGCAACCAACTGGGAAATTGAGGTCGAGTTCAAGATCCACGGCAAGAACCAGCTCTACGGCGACGGCTTCGCCATGTGGATTACCAAGAACCGCGGCCAGGCGGGTCCTGTCTTTGGCAGTCCCGACAACTTTGACGGCCTCGGCATCTTCTTCGACACGTACAAGAACAACCGCCCCGGCACCGTCTTCCCCTACGTCATGGCCATGTTTGGCGATGGCAAGACCTCTTACGACAAGGACAACGACGGCAAGAACACGGAGCTCGCGGGCTGCTCCGCGCGCGGCATCCGCCACGCCAGCGTGCCCACCAAGGCTAAAGTCACGTACTTCCAGGACAAGCTTCTCAAGCTGGAACTGCAGTACAAGACCGAGGGCGACTGGACTCTCTGCTTCGAGACCAACGAGCCCCCCGCCATCCCCCAGATCGCCTACCTTGGCTTCAGCGCCGAGACGGGCGAGCTCAGCGACAACCACGATATCATCTCGGTGCAGGCCAAGAACCTCTACACGACGCAGACCGGCAAGGGTACCAGTAAGACGACCCCCGGCAGCGGCAAGGGCAAGAAGGGATCTTCCTCGATCAAGAAGGACAGCAGCGGCGGCGGCAGCTGGACGTGGACTTTCTTCAAGGTCTTCCTCTTCTTTGGCGTCCTCGGCGGCGGCTACGTCGGTTACACTGCCTGGAGAGCAAAGAACGACAAGAGACATCGCTTCTAAAGAAGTATTTGATGATGAAGAAGAAGAATGAAGGGGACTAAGCCCCGGAAGATGAATGGGAAATATTTTATTATTTTGGGGGAGAGAATGACAAAAAGGGGGCAAAGCAGCTGTTGATTTGACCGGGAAAGATGACTGACACCGTACATACCAACAACGCAACACAAGGTCATGACTTTTGCATGGGACAAGTCGAAGGCGGTGGGGGAAAGAAAAAAAACCAAGTTTCCATGGTTACTATTTTCCCTCTCTGCCTTTCTCTGTCTCAATCATGATTTTAGTTACGAATAACTCAGTCTGAGATGAATTCAAGTGTATTATATGATGGTTGGCCGATTGATGAGGTGGTTCACATGTGAGGCCGGAGGAATGCGTGACTATTATTCCGATAACCCGAAGAAGACGCCTGGCAATGAGTTGGTAGATCGGTCCGACCGGAATTCTTACCTTGCAGGCCTGGATTGATGGTATGTATGGATAGTTGTCCATTGCCAAAAAACTAAGCTAGATATAATTCGGCAAAAGCTACGGGAGTAATTCAATTGGCCCGGTCGCCGAGGAGCTTAGAGATCATATAAAGTCTAGACGACAAGGTCGGAATTCTACCGAGCTCTAATATGGAGTGCAAGGTGGGGGTGGGGACGCGTTATGATGGCGCCAATATGTAAGACTGCAGTGCCTCATCCGGAGGATTACTTCGGAGATGTAAGTTATGGTAACAAAGTGGGTGGAGGTGGTTGGGGGGATTTGCTGATTTTCAGTTTCTCGAGAGTTGCATCCGAGAATGATTGCTTGAGACCTGCCTCGGAAGCGACTGATATATCGGCTTGAACGGTAGATTTGACCGCACGCTAAGGAATATATGTGACTTAGTATGAGAAGTGGCCAAGAGCAGATTGTGCGTTTGTGTATATGTGTCTAGGAGACGTGGGGACTAAACCGCTCGGAATTTGATACTTGGCATCAGTGAGGCAGTGAGGATGACAGAGTTGGGTGGCGCGTGTTTGATCTGCCTCCAGCATCACGGCCGTTCCCGGCGAAAGCTATCCGTAGTTGGAGAGGTTTCCATTGGAATGGGCATTGACCCAGGATCCGGAAAGGGGAATCAATTAATAGGTCCGGGCTCGGATGGAAAGTTGGAACCGTACGAGAGAGATAATCCCGCTCTACCTTAGCTCATACATATACGAATAAGTTCCTGCCTCCCGCCCCAACGAGGCGTGAACGTTCCTCAATCTTGTTTCATTTGAGGGACAGTGGTGGTAGTGGTGACTAGGGAGACGGGACAAGGAAAGCAAAAAAAGGCGATGGAGAGGCTAATGAGTTCCAGATCCAAGATCCGCCGAGTTCCAGATTCGAATGTTGCGCATGTTGACTTTGGGTGGGATAAGGAGTTATAAACTTCCTGGTTTGGTGGCTTGGGTGGTGGTACCGGTATGTAAGCGGGCAGGCTTTACTTGATGTGGACAAGAGAGAATCTGTGTGTGATTTTGGAATCCTTGGACTGGGGGGTTCGAGTTGGTTAAGGTTTGGAAAAGACAGGTGCCTGGGGAAGGGGGGGTGTTTGAAAGGTTGAGTAACGGTAGCGGCGGGCAGTCGGGTTGTCCAGTGTGTCAGTTCGGCGCGAATCGCGGAATTCGACCTGAGAGGAATGCGAATGTGATTACCTGTGGACGTGGGGGGGTTGTCTATGGGATCGATCGATGTCGAGGAAGGATTGGTAGTTGGTGAGGGAAGATGATGGGAACATAAGGAGTGGAGACGAATTGGAAGCAAATGTCCAGAGTTCATCTGTCGAGACTCGAAGCTCACAGTCTGATAGCAGTTGGGGCAGGAGACTCGAGGTAGGCATGAAAGGTACCCTGCGTCTGGCCCTTTCCACTATTTCAGGTGAGGTCGTCGGCAACGGCACGTCACTGGTCCTTCAATTCGCCTTGAGTGCCTCGAGTGAGGGGTCATCCGCTCTAGCTACATACCTGGCAGCTGCCCTGGCCGGATGGAGGTAAATGGCACCAAAGGCAGGAAGGTAGCTCCAGGGCAAAATATCACCCCGCCTTCCTTTGACATGTACCTTCCTGCGGTACCTAGGGGCCTTAGCTTAGGTAAAGCATGTACGTATATCACCTTGTGAGATACCTAGGTACCTCAGGTACGGGCGCCGGCACTTACACTTCCGCACACATCCAAGGCAGAGATACTGATGAGAGAGAGCGAGACTGGGGAGAGGTATCCGGTGTTGCTGAATACGGAGTAGAGTTACTCGCTTGATTCAAGCTGGAATCCAATCCAATGTCGAGCGTGCTGGCGAGCCCCGGCAGCTTGTCTCCGTTTGCTGCCACTACGACCCCGTCGAGATTCAGGTCGGGTTGCTTGGCCTGCCCCTACCCCACCTCTGCTGGGCTTGTTGTTCGATTGCTGCGGTGCGCCTTGCTCGATCTTGGTGGGGGAGAGGCGAGACTCAGCAGACACACTTTGTACTCAGGTCATTCGCGGCATCAAAATAATAGGTTGGACAGTCGTATAGTCAAGTGTCAGGTAGCGAAGTTTACCTATCATACCTCTTGACCCAGTTGACGCAAGATGTGACAATCCTCGAATATATGGATACAGAGACGGAGAATGAAGCATAGTTCAGACAGACATACCTACTACCATGATGCCCCGCGTTCAACCAAGTCCAAGATCAGCTCTTGTGCATGCACGCTGTCTCCCGCTTGTCTCTCCCAGTGTCTCTCTTCCCTTCCTATTGTAACCCAGCCAGGCCTTTTGCAAAATGTACCTATGGGCTGAACTGGGAACAGGATCGGCCGCACTTTCCAACTTGTTCTCGACCCTCACTGGGCTCATAGAGTGCTGCCCTCGGCTGTCCCATCTCGATACCGATTGGATGGTGCCGTACTCGGCCTACCAATTACGATGCCCTTCCCTGCCTACGCCGTTCCCGTCTAAACGCGGGCGTCAACCAGACTGAACCACTTCCGCCTCCGCCCACCCACGTAGTACGTACTCTCACGCCCACCTTCACGGCTGCAGCCAGAGCAGAAGAAGCTCTACCTTACCTTACCTTCCCACTTATGTATTCGTAGTGAGGTATGTAGCATACTCCCCCTCCAACATCCATACGCAGCAGCTTGCAGTAGCTCTTTGCCCTTCCCAATTAACCCTTTTGCTACTACATCATCATCGACCTCAGCTTCCACTGGCGGCCCTTCTCCTCTCTCTCGTTCTCTCTTTTTCTTCTCTTCCCTTCCTT